GTGCTGTCATTCATCCGTAGTACAGAAAAGGCCCCACTTGCATTAAAAGATCGTTATTTTGGATGAAATTTCATGTGTTTTTTACCCAGGTTCTCTTCTTCCCAAACAAAGGTACACAGCCTCCCTCTACCATCATATATAGTCTGTCAGGACAGCATAGGGGATTCCAGATTGTAAATGGTATTAGAGGCACAGATCAATTTGTGAAGCTAAGACCTCACTTAAATGAAGAGCAGCGAAAGACTGTTCAGTGCTTGATGTTCAGCTGCTTTTGAGTAAGTTAAAAATTATCTCAATGCATGAGTTTAGCTCTTGCTTCTTGTAACAAATCTTTCTGAATTATATTTAAAAATCCTAAGGGGAAACTGCAGACCTTAGAAATGGTTTTTACCTTTTCATTAGTGGTGCACAGAAATTAAAATTCTTGGACCAAAACCGAAGATTGAGCATACATTTGGCTGAAAACCAAAATGGGTACTTTTTTTTTTTTTTTTTTTTTTTTTTTATTTATTTATTTTTTTTTTTGTATTACATTCGACTTTATAAATAAGATCATGAATTTAAATTCACTTTTTCTGCCAATAGGCTGCTGTCACACTAAAAAAACAAACCAAAAATAGGTCCCGAAGGTAGGTAAAGCCCACCCAGTGAGACAAGTGGTTAATTCAATCGCAAACGAGGCTTGTATCAGGTTGTGCAATTTAAAAACTGATAGGAAGGTCATTAATCTATCCGACTTCCCACTTGCCCCAAGACATATAAGACTCCTACAAAGGGGTATGTCATTCTCTCCAACCAGCAGTATGGATGAATTTGCGGTATACAAGGATATAATGTTATTTTTACGCAAAGTATCTTTTAGATCATTGTATACCCAAAAAGTTCCATTGTTGGAATCCGAGCAGGCCACCTTGATGTTGGATACATTCATTTAATTGCTTGAAGAGAATAAAGGTTCCGATTAATTATACTACTATCTCCAGGAGATGGGCAAACCTAAATTTTCGATCAACCAAAATGCCAATTCAAAGTAAAAATAAGTGGTTGAGCCTTTTTCCTGGATATGGTACAGAAGGACCTAAAATTGGTCGATTGGACTATAGGTAATCATGGCAACCTAGATATGGAGGAACGAAAGACTTTGTTTGAATTAAGGGAAACTAAAAAGCTCTTAAGAGAAGTGCGAAGGGGGTAATGTGGTTGTCATGAGTGAGACCAACTATCTAAATGAAGTAAAACGACAACTGGATGATAATATGACTTATAAACAGGTACGAGGTACCTCTGAGTTCCCCAGCTTTATGCTTGCCTCCTTCTGGGGATTTGGGAAGAACAAGAGGTCTATACCTTGCCGATGTACTGTAGCCACGTCTATACATGGCTGAGGTACATCAACAATGTCTTTTTCCTTTTGGAGAGGCAACATTGAAGTATTTGGTCAGTTTATAGACTCTAAATCAAAACGATAGGAATATTCACCTAACCTACACATGTGACAACAGACAGATACCCTTCTTAGATCTCTCTATAGCTATCGACGATGATCAACTAGTGACCCGCACTTACCACAAGGATATGGCAGCGAATACACTTCTACAAGCAGATAGCCACCATCCAACTTGGCTAAAAAATGGGATCCCAGTGGGGCAATTTCTTCACATTAAGCGGAGCTGTACAAAACTCAGATTCTAAGAAGGAGGCACGGGGACTTGTATGCCTATTTTCATGAACGGGGATACTCACACAGGCAATTGTGTAGAGCTAAAAGAAAAGTGGCAGATTTATGATAGGAAGTGCCTTCTTACTGAAAAAAAAAAAACTAGAGTGCATAATAAATACGGTGGCCCAATAAGGTTAATAACCTCCTTTGCATCCCATTGGGGCAAGGTAAGAGAAATATTCCAAAGCCATTGGGGATCCTCTCTAACTGCCGTGGCCTGACCCCCATTGTGGGACCAACCCCACAAATGATACCCAGAAAGGTGCAGAACCTTGGAGAAATTTTGATCCACTAAGAATTCATTAGGACAACTTCTAATGATTGGCTTTCCGACTACCCCAGAGTAAGGGAAATGTACCCATGTGGGAAATACCAAATTTGTCAACATGTGGATCAAACCAATGTTTTCCGGAACTTTATTAAAGGAAAATAGCTTCTAAATTAGGGATCTAATTAATTGCTCAACAACTAGGGTGATCTATATGATCACAGGTCCCTGTGAAAAAAATCTATATCGATAAGACCAAAAGACAGTTAAAAGCGAGAATTGGAGAACATTTACGAGAGATTAAAGAAAAACCCAAAAATTTGGAAAAACCACTGGCAAAGCACTTTTGGAAATCCCATGGGGGCAATACGGAAGGAATGAAAATTAAAGTTATTTTGCCTTAAAATTATCTCAGACGAGGTGACTTCAGTACTGTTCTACTTAGAAAAGGAAAATGGTGGATCTATAAATTAAAATCTTTGGCCCCACTTGATCTTAATACAGAACTAAATTTGCAGGTATTTCTGAATGAATAGCAATGGGTGGTACTTATAAAATTTGACTACCGATGCTTTTGGTTTTTAATGTCGCTTTGGTAATTTTTTCTTTATCCCCCAACCTTTTGATTTTTGAATTAAGATTGACTCGACTTGATGATATATTGAGTATATATATTTTGAAATTCTAGTGAGTCAAATAGGAGTATGTCATGCTTCTGGTAAGAGGTTGACTGGTAACAGCATTTTATCTTGGTCAGGTATGTTTAAAATAGTATCTCCTTTAAGAGAATTCCATCGTGCGGCAAGGGGCGGGATAAGTCACCATTTATAAGGAGTAATTCGCCGCCCGCATGTTGTTCCTGACGAAGCAATGCTTGTACATAATCGTAGCGCATTGATGTTATGAGTTGTGAGTGATGTTCCTGCTACGCCTCTCCGCGATCCCAATGGCGGCTGAAGTCTGCCGTGGGCAGAAGGAAAACAGACCCTTATCGGATCGAATACTCAATGGTGACACAACCTTTACTTCTTACTGACAGCATAGTCCTTTGTAAGCCTGTGGAGTGAAAGGACTATCACCCTATAATGCATCGGACAGCATTTTTTACCAGTTAAGACCCTCATTGGCGGCCGCGGAGTCGTAAAACCGTTCCTTGCTTATATTCAACATTAGTAGCCAAGACTCGATATATACAAGTCTGCGCGGACTCTATTTCCTGACCTACACAGCGGATGACCACATTGCTTTGTGAGGTCTATACACTGGTCAATGAATCTGGGAACTTGACAATTCTGTTATATGATCCTGGCTTTATACATAAATGGACACGAAGGAAATGTCCCACACTTACTGTGTAATATACTGGTGAGGATACATACCACCACCTTATACCGGGGCATCCATGCTGCCCTATTGGCTAACTGGTCTACTAAGTGACTATTGAACTAATTCCTCACACCTATATGGTTCCAACTATGTGGTCATGCTGTTCAAATCTTTGCAAGTGGAATTAGGTGGCCCTACAATCTTACAATCCGTTTACACTCCAGGCTAATTTACTGCTAATTATGAGCCGTTGAATTCCATACACTGGACAATTTTCCTGTTCATTTGGACTTGCCCTCTCCGACCTCTTCGGGAATTATCCCTGATTACCATCAATATCGCTTAACATATGGGCCCAGGGGCTTGTCTATATGTGGACACTGCAGCGCTGTATTTAGAAACTATTAGTCCATGTATCCCTCTTCTTTTGGGGACCGCTTCTCCGCGGTGACCACATGCAGGCACTCTAATTGACGTCTGGATGCCTCCTATATTGACATTGGTTTTAATATATTGTATGTCTATGTATGTATGTATGTATGTGTATGTGGTTGTTGCGTACAGAATGTGAACTTCATCTTGTTGTACCACAAACTTTTTTTTTTTTTTTGCAATAAATATTGTTTTTTTTAAATTGCAGAACCTGCTACAAGCCTTGTTTGTTGTTGACTTAACCACTTGTCTCAATGGGTGGACTTTACCTACCTTTTTGGGACCCATTTTTTTTTGTTTTTCTGCCATTGTATACGGTTTAGACATCAACACTTACTAAGTGACTAGGCAATTGGTGCTCTTTCAATTTTGTTTACCCTCCAACTTTCTTTTTCTGGTCTATATTGCTTTCACACGAAGCAGTTTTTGAAGCACTTTAGTGTTTAAAAAAGAGTTTACAAGCGTTTGGCATTTGAAACGCTGATAAAATCTACTCCTGAACACAAGTTTGGTGCGTTCAAAAAAACAACTGTAAACTCAACTGCCTGTAAACAACATAGTGTACATGAATACATAGGAAAACATTAAGGAGAGTTCAGGGGCTGCTGAAAAAACACAGAAAAGCTCCTAAACAGGAATTAATCAGCTGCAGTGTATATGGATCCTTAAATGTGCATCTAACCCTTGCAATGTGGGGGCAGCCTCCGTGGACAGAATCCAAGGTGTTTTTTGAATAATTAGTGCAAAGGAAGACTATAATAGTCAGGATTATCAGTCACTACACTGGAGGAATAGCTCTGTGTGTAATATCTGGCATGAATGAAATTTGTGATTTGCATAGTAACCAGCAGCACTCTGGATCAACTACCGTGCAGTGGTCTGCAGTGCTGCAGTCTATAGCCTCAAACACTCATCAGACCAAAATTTGCCAACAGGGCGGTTAAACATTTACTGAGCAACAGATCAACTTCTGTTCAATCAGTGGCTATACATGGATCGAAGTTTGGTGCGTCCCTGCTGAACTGGCTGAATTTCAATCCAAGTATGGCCAGCTTAAGCCTGAAAAAGAAAACTAAGCAACTATATCTTAGGACTGACCAGCATTAGTGTATATTGTTCTTAGGTTTAAATCAACTGACTATATTATTCCTTGGGTATATACCGGAAGTGTTTTTTACTCTTTGCCTTTACTTTCATATCTAATGGTTTTACAGTATTTTGTGCCAATATACTTTTTTTCCACTGTTTTCCCAGATTCATCATTTTTTACCTTCCGTGATATGGACTGTGAACCAAGAGGATCACCAGCTTGTGAATCTATAGTTTCACGAAATACAGAAAAGATCCTGGTAATATATATAGTGATTTTAGAGCCACCTTAACCACGTCAGTACCGGGCACTTTTATCCTCTTCCTGCCCAGGCCAATTTTCAGCTTTCTGTGCTGTCACTCTTTGACAATTGCGTGGTCATGCAAAAATGTACCCAAACTAAATTTTTAAAAATTTGTTCACATAACTGGCTTTCTTTTGGTGATATTTAATCACCACTGGTTTTTTTTTTTTTTTTCTTTTTGCTAAATGAAAAAAAGACCGATTCATTTTTGGGGGGGAAAAAACATTTTTTTTTCTTTGTTTTCTGTTTATAAAATTTTGCAAATAAAAAATAATTGTTTTCATAAATTTTTAGGCCAGAATGAATACTGCTACATTTCTTTGGTGAAAATTGTTCTATATTATTTAGCCTGTAGGAAAGTTATAGAGTCCACAAACTATGGTATTTATCTGAAAATCGATCAGTCCTGATATACTGATGGCCTATCGTTTGTTGAGACCCAAATATGTCAGGACAGTTCAGATATCCCCCAAATTTACCCCTTTTTTAGAAAGTAGACCATCTGCGGTATTTAGTAAGAGGCGTGATGAGTTTTCTGAAGTTTTATAATTTTTTGGGAAAATGAAATTTTAAAGTGTGTGTATATTTAATTTTTTTTTTTTTTTTTTTACTTTCACCAGTGCAGTACAGTGTCACCATACAACTGGTGTGGTGGTGGTGATCAGAGACCCTTACTGGTGACAGTACGAAAAAAAAAATCTTATACTTTTTGTTTAGTTTTTGTTTTTTTAACAGTGTGACTAGAGTAATATAATGTTACCATAGTAACATTGTACTACTCTGGGGAAGATTATACATTATGGTTGCTTTTAGCAATGAACTTCATTGCTGTAAGCAAGTATTTTACTGTTAGCTGATTGGCCACAGCTAATCACATGACACAAATGGGCTGTGATTGTCCCAGTCTGTACCATGTGTTCATTGTGGCTAATCACAGCTAGCAGCACAATTATATCTACTAGATGGTATAAAAGGATGCTATCCATTTATAATTGTCATGTGACCTGCTGTGATTGGTCACAGCATTCACATGGTACAGACTATGAGCCGGTACACAAATCAGTCATTGGCTGTGTCTGACACAGCCGGTGACAGATCTCGCTGCAGCACGGCCCTGTGGGCCTGTGCAAGGAAATGACTTAGAGGGTCGTCCTATAACGTTCACCTGGATCGACAAAAGTAGTAATAGTTAGGAAAATGACGGTCGGGCAGGAACTGATTAAACACTGTGGGGGAAACGTACTAAAACTGGTGCACTCAGAATCTGATACAGCTGTGCATGGTAGCACAATCCGCTTCTAACGCTATGTTCAATTAAGTTTCGATAATAAAACCTGCAAGCTGATTGGTTTCTATACAGTGCTGCACCAGATTGTGCACACCACAGTTGTAGTAAATAAGTCTGTTAGAATATGATGTTTTTCACATGCATAATTGTATGTATTATAAAGGCAAAAGGTAAAAATGTTTCCAGTTTGACTAAGGATTGTTTTAAAGTTAAGTTGCTATATAAATTCCACCCGGAGAAGAGAAGCCTAGAGTGCTGGCAAGGGACCCCAGAGGAGGAGGTTCATAGATGCTCTGTGCAATACTATTGCACAGAGCATGCAAGAATAAAATGTTTATTTTAATTCAATAATTTTTCAATCACTTCAATGTCCTGTGGAATGATGTTTTTAAGACCTGTGAACCACATATGACATGCATGGTATCCGTGCAAATACAAGATTTTTTTCTTCCTAAGTACAGATACATTCCCAATGAATAATCTCTGGAATAGTCAATATATGACTTCAACATGCTTTTAAAAGGATAATTTCACCTTTCAGGACATGTTACACCTATATTCGTGTTACTGGAAGACTGGCCCCCAATCCCCCATTGTGACATCTAGCTGGGGATATTCTATCTTCGCTAGCTGTCAGTTAAAAGAAAAAAAAAAAAAACATCCATGCGGGGTTCCGCCTGGCCACATCATTCAGAGTTTGTGGCTGTCAGCTTGTAGCTCTCAAACTACCATGGCACTGTCGAGCGTTACGGTAGTTCATTGATTTCTTCCTGTCTGAGTAAAACTGCCTGCCTGTACGATGTACAGATTACACTGACAGTCTGCAGGAGACCTACATGGCACCAGCGATCTGCTGATCACTGCTGCAATGCTTTCCAAGCTCCTAAAACAAATAGCAAATGCGCACATATTTTTTTTTTGTTTTTTTTACCTGCAGATAATGTGCATTTATTTATATATTTTTTTTATTAAAAGGTGAGCAACTTCTTTGAATTCTACTTGTCTATGTGCGTGCTAGTCTGTAGTTTTCAATACACCATGACAATCGTATTCCCCCTCCAACATCACCCAGCCCATAAGTTACAAAATGGTCTTGCAAAGAAACATTGCTTTTATTTCTGTTTTGTCTGGTTAACCATCTTTCACTAAATCTTAATAACCGTTTATTTTTTTGAGCACAGCTGAAATCCCAGCACTGATTACTTTTTCCTTTTTTGAGAGTAACTTCTGTTGGGGGATCACAACAATTTAAGACTAATTTGCCACTAAGGGAGCACATAGATCTCCGTTTGTTTGCATTCATTTAGGTTGGTATGTTTACTTATGCACCTTCTAAATCTCTAAACCTTTTTTTCTTTTTCTTTTTCTTTTTTTTTTTTTTTTTTTCCAGAGCCAAGCCAAATCTCTGGCTGAACAGAGGAGATTGCCTTTTGTCACTGAAGATGACGACATAAACGAGGAGCTGGGTAAGTTAGCTAAACATACAAACTTTTTGGACTTCTGTATAATAAAATGACTATGGACTTGTCGGTAGTACCTGTAGACTGAACATCTCGAATTAAAGTTTAAATTGCTATTGTAGAGCAGAAATATGGAAGTTTCATACATCCTTGCTTGGCCACTTTATCACATCTACAGCAAGTACCTGTGGACAAGCCTCTCTATCTTGATATCTGCTTTAAGTTACTGCACCTACTAACGCACCTAACAAAAGTTTTGCACTTACAGGGCTATTTGTTTGGTTTTTTTTTTTTTTTTTTTTTCCTTATTTTTTATTTATAGTGAAACGGTAAAACTGATGTTATACAAGGCAGTCAACCACAGCAAACCGAATAGGTCCACAGTCAGTGAGTAATAATACTATTACATAGAAAGGTATTGAAATAAATGGCATTGCTAAGTAAGCAGTAGCATTAAATCTAGTGAATTTACATGGAGCACGACTACAGTTATGAGTTACCAGGAGATAGCATTAAATATCTGGGATGGTGAGACCATGAGTTACTACAGGGGGTTATGTATTGACATAATACAAACAACTATTTAACACTTCAGTACCAGTTCTTGGATGCTAAAAGACATCTAAGTTGGTATATATCTCCTTCTGAAGTGAAGAAATTTAGCAGTGGGGTTTTTTTTTTGTTTTTTTTTCCCCGTCTTTTTGTTTTTTTCAAAGCCATTTTTTTCCCCCCAGAAAATCTGAAAAATAAAGTGTTTTTGAATATGTTCTTTACAATAATAAATAAAATATATATGACATGGTATTCAAGCTATAACCTAAATTTTAAGACTTTAAATAAAGTCTCAGAAATCTTTCATTAAGGTCTTCACCTTAATGAAAGATTTCTGAGACTTTATTAAAGTCCTAAATTATTGCAAGTTCTCCCAGCTAAAGACAAGCAAACCCTGGAATACAATTTAAATAACACAGCAATAAGTGTGATTCTTGCCTCTTTCTCTTGTGCCCACCCCCCCAGTTCTTTGACAATTTACACTGCCCGCCTTCCAAACGGGACCTTGTTCTGGGGCTGTGAAGTACTATGCAGGAGACAATGTGAACTTGTTAAAGCTGACCTCCTCTTTTTAAGTAATGCATAATAAGAACTCGGTATCATCTTTGGAAGCCTAGTGACCAATATGCTCACCCCTTACCTGGCCAGTTGTGTTATATCCCCACTATAGTTCTTTTTTTTTTCTTACCAGCTGCAAACTAAGTCACTGGCTGACGTGAAAGGATATGGGTATCGCAGAATTCTGGTCTGTCCTGTCAGCCAACATGATCGTATTTGATTGACCAGTCAGGAGAATCTTGGCCTGTCTTGCTCATCATGCTCTAACACTGACTGACAGGCCTGGAGACTCCCAATCACACCTGCTGGAAGAGATACAGGCTATGAAAATGAGCTCCAAGGCTCACTGTTAGTGCTTCTCCTCATAGCTGCATGCAGTAAAGTAAATGCTGACATTTTGTTATGAGCAGAAAAAAAGCTTTATACCAGTGCCCGTTGCCGGCTACTATTCTCATTGTATGATGGGAATTGGTTTATTCCAGCAGCCCTGTACAGTAACATGAAAAGTCATTGGCACTTCTCTAATGCCTCCTCTCCAGGGTCTGGTCATAGCTGCTGTTTCTAATGTGAATCAATGACATCACCAACTTTTACAGGGCAATTTACTAAGAAACTAGGTCGGAAGAATAAAATATTCACTTGTATAATGTGTTTATGGACAGGAAGTAGGGGCCAAAATTAGTAACCTACCCAGAGTTAAGCTTTAACACCAAAATGACTGGTCTGTCCTAATGGTTCCTGTGAGTACTTATTAGAAGCAGCAGTTTTATCACTGTTTTGTACTAATGAGCTCTGCTAAGATGTGTGGTTCTGTACTGCTGTCTGAGCACCAGGACTGGTGGGACTTTTATTTCCATATTGACTCTTTACAGTTTGCTATCTGAACATTGGGGCTGGTGCTGCTTAAGGCTGTTTTCAGCTGCCTTTTTTACACAAAGAAGAATTGTCCCCGGCATCGGGCTGCTAGGTGGCATCCTCATGCCTCTGTTTTGAATCTTTGAACAAGCCCTCTGTATCTTCCCTCTAGTGGTCCTTCCTGCTTCCTTAATAAACAGCCTGCACATCCATCTGCTTAGCTTTCTTGTGCTTTCTGCACTCCTAGTTCATCAAAAATAAAAATTACCTTTTTTTTATCAATATTTTATTTAGTTGTGAATGGAAAAAGTTACAACCCATGTCAGGTTTTATAATAGGACAGCGCTACAGATAATAGTAAAAGTCCACATAAACTCTATAACGAATTCTCACTGAGTCAATAAAATAAATGTTTCATAGTAATAATGTAACCATTCATCAGATTGACATGTGAAACAATCAAGTCTCAATCAGTAGGTATGACGAAGTTCCCTTCCGTACAAGTGTTCAGAGAAAACAGAGAACGGAAATCGCAACTAGTGAGGAGCCTTCGCCTTCATCCTCTCACCTGGTGGTTATACCTACTAAACTTCGGTCTAATCGCACTGTTAACCCTATTGCCCCTGGGTTGTGGGGATATCCTTTGGGTTTGGGTCCTCCAAATTTTCAGTGAAAAGCAATTCACTGGTTATATTGGAGAGATAAGTTTACATAGTGTGTACCCATATATAAAATGTATTGAAATAAATGAAAACAACTCACAAGCAGAGTGCACATGACTGGGGCACTATAGATGACAGCTGTATCAAGATGATAATCCTTATGATTGCCGCATCTGGTGAAAGCTCAATGAGTAAGGTAACTGTGCTCTCTCATCTCCTAGTGGTATCTTGTCACTGTGATCCATATGGTCCCGCCGGCGGTAGAGTGGTATGCCGGTATTTGAATGTCACTCACTCCACCATGCACCCTTACACGTTAAGCCTGTGTGGCTTCATCAGACCGCCCACAAGGACGCCATGTCAATGATACAGCCTGTTAAGGCTGATCGGTATATGATGAGCAGCTAAAATGAAGTGAATGGAGCTCCTGGGTGGCTAGGATAAGGTTTGGGATTATATGTGGCAAAGAGAGAACCCACGAACTGAGCACCAATTGCCGCAATCATTTTACATTATTCTATAAAACAATTCACATCACAATCTACTTTCAAGCCTTTTTACTAGGTAATAAGGTAATAATCCCAAACCGTATCCTGGCCACCTAGGAGCTCCATTCATTTCATTTTAGTTTCTCATCATATACCGACCAGCCTAAATAGGCTGTATCATTGACATGACGTGCTTGCGGGAGGTTGCTATGGCAACCATTCATTCATACATTAGACTTCCTGCCACCACCCGACGCACCCTCTGACAAAGCCAAGCAGGCTTAACATGTAAGGGTGCATGGTGGAGTGAGTGACATTCAAATACCGGCATACCGCTCTACCGCTGGCGGGACCATATGGATCACAGTGACCGGATACCACTAGGAGATGAGACAGGAGAAAGCACAGTGACCACTCGCTGAGCTTTCACCAGCTGTGGCAATCATAAGGATTATCATCTTGATACCGCTGTCATCTGTAGTGCACCAGTCGTGCACTCTGCTTGTGAGTGTTGTTTTTAATTTATTTCAATACATTTTATATATGGGTACACACTATGTAAGCTTCTCTCTCCATATAACCGGTGAGTCGCTTTTCATTGAAAATTTGGAGGACCCATACCTGAAGGATAACCCAGGGACAATAGGGTTAACAGTGCGATTAGACCAAAGTTCAGTAGGTCTAACCAACAGGTGAGAGGCTGAAGGTGAAGGTTCCTCACTAGTGGCAATTACCGTTTTCTCTGAACACTTGGACAGAAGGGAACTTCTTCATACCTACTGATTGAGACATTCACTTGAATGTTTCACATGTCAGTCTGATGAATGGTTACAATATTACTATGATACATTTATATCATTGACTCAGTGGGAATCTTGACATGTACAGATTTTTTTTATAGAGTTTGTGGACTTTTAGTATTCATTATCTGTAGCACTGTCCTATATTGCCTTTTTTAGATATGTGGTGTGATCATATGAGGATTTAGCAGCAGATTATCCTATTCATTCATTAATTTATCGTTTTTATACAAGAATTGCGCACAGGTTTCTTTTTATTATTTTTTTTTTTATCATGTCAGGTTTTACTGCCTATCCAGGCTACGTTGGAGACATTTCCCCTCAATTTAGGCTCTAGAAAAGGGAAATGGTCAACAATAAAAAGTTGGCAGGTTTTCTAGCTTTCTACTTCTGTCTGTGCTGCTCTTAAGAGTTTTCCCTCAATTCTTATCCTAGAGACATATTTTTACCGGTTGGGAAGTAAAGGAACAAATCAGAGCCTCCAACTGCAATAAAACCTGACTGGTTCTAATCCTTCCCTAAAAAGATTTTAGGGTATAGATCAAATTTTAAGTTTTTATATTTCTAGTAATGTTGGCAAATTTTAACCTGCATTGTAGGAGTGGAGAGCTGAGCGTAAGCAGCAGCTGAAGGATCCAATTAGTTCACCTGCTAAGAAACATGCTGATAGGTGGATAAAGCAGAGTGTCAGAGAAATGAGTGCCTGTTGTTCATTTCACTGTCCAGTTGCTGGGGTGAGTCCAGGATGACCAGGGTTTAGAGGCGGTAGGTGAAATGCTGGCCAAAAAATTCATAGGAGGTGAAACTGTGGATTTTAGTTAAATATTGTAGTTAGTCGTCCGTCCCCTCCCTTTTTTTTTTTTTTTTTTTTTTTTTCTTTGGTTCTTCTACAGGATATTCATTTTTAACTTTGTTGCTTTTGTCAGGAGTTCTTTTTTTTTAAACTGTCCGATCACGAGTGGCTGTCACTGGGAATATCAGTGTAAGGACAGATTTTAAAACTGTGATCAGTGTTTGCTTTAGTGTATCCATGATTGACATTTTAGTGGATGAATGGATAACAGCACTTAAAAAAATTTTAGTTTACGGATTTGTATGCATGTTAATCCAGCTAAGAACATGTATTTGAAGGTACTTATCCAAGTTACATTACTAAAAACGTATGTAAAGTTTCCATGGCTACTTTATTTTCTGTGCTTGAATTTTAGAATTTAAGTTGTTTTTCATGTAAGTAACTAATTGCATGTATTCACTCCTTATATTCAAGCTATAGGATACGTGTTAATAGGGAGTGGCCTGCATGATGAAGCAATTAAACATTTCTCATCAATGCTTCAGGTAACCTGAGTTATTTCTTTACCAGTCTCTGCACATTAGTCTATTTTATACTGTTTTAATGACACTTATTACGTTTTCTGCCTCTGTTCACCATAGCAGCATGAACAATGTGGCAACTGCCTTTTTTTCTAGGTACTACTGATGAATGTCACTCCTTGCTGCTTAGGAGATGTAGCATGTTTTTAACTTCTATTTTCTTTCCTCTTGAGACCAATGATACTTGATCTTTTTAAAGTAGAATTCAAGCCACACCATTTGTTTTTGAATGTAACAGAGTTTGTATCTCTGTCATGTGTCATGTTTACTGCTGTCTTGGAGCCAAAGTGGAGATCTCTCTTTGGCCCTAATGCAGTTGTGACCGCATTTGCTAGGCTGCATCCCTAAATTTGCTTTACAAATATTTATCTTGAATAGAAGTCATACAAAAGTGCTACACCAACCTAACAAATAAGAAGTCAGATGATTCCCCCCCTCCTACTCGCTGTCACAATGGGGCATTGGGGGATGTGGGGGCTACTGCATCTTTAACATGTTACACCGTGAATATGGGTGTAACATGTTACGAAAGGTGAACTTATCCTTTTTAAGTCTTGAACTATTACATTTTATTCTTTCTACTAGTTAGGTCTGAAAGGCTTAGTTTTGACCATTATAATAAAATAATGCTTACCTACGTTATTGGCTTAATTAGAACTTGAAAGCAGCACTATGGGGGGGTGCCCTTTTAACTTGTAAGACTCTAGTAAGTCACTGACCATTAAAGGGCAGTGGTACCTTTTTTAGTACCATTGTCCTTTCAATTAACCCCCCTTCCATGTAAAATACTTGCCTTCCATGCTGTTCAGAGATCCTTACCCACCTGGTGCTGGCCAGCCATTGTTCAGAAAATTTATTTTATTTGTTGTGCATCCCTGTGGGTGAACCATACTCTGCTGTACAGCTCAAGGCCCCTGTGGGCACAGCTTACCCATAGGAATAATTATGGTTGGCCTTTGAGAACAATTCTGCAATGACAGTGCTGAAAAATTGTACACGCTATGAAAATTGTTAACTTCCTCAACATATTTGAACAGGCAAACATTAGATCTTTAGTCTGCACTTCTTTTACTGTGACTGGAGGTGAGGGGAGATCCGTGTACTGACTGGAGCATAGGAAAGATTTCTCTCTAAACAGCTCTGCTTTAAGAGAAGTGTAGAAGCACTTTTCACTGTGTTGGTGCGGACATGATGATCTCCCACTGTGCTGCTCTGCATATAAGAGTCTGGCAGAGTGGTTCTGGCTTTACAACCAATCAGAATGTCTGTCAGGAGCTCATGTCACCATACGCCAAGCTCCGTGATTGGTTAGAAAGCCAATATTATGGAACTTCTGGAGAGAGAGGTAAGAAAATGATGAGGTGTAAATCCAAGATCCTCTACCCCATTTACCCTTCCAGGTTGTTCCAACTTCTATTTAATTTCATTCAGTGCAGTTATTATCATTGCTACATCTGACTTTTTTTTTTTTTTTTTTTTTTTTTACCTGGCTAGCCTTTATAGTATCACAAATGGGGTTTATTCACTAAACAGGCGATTTATGGACAATTGCCAAGGTATTTGCAAAATTTAGATAATTTGAGGTGCTCCATTACATCTATTTTTCCTTCCCGGGCTATTTGAGCTTAAAGCAAATCCCTATTTAGTGAATACATTTTGTATTGTAACCATAAACTGCAAATTGGGTTCCACCAAAAAAAAAAAAAAAAAAAAAAAAGCAAAGTGGCACCAGGTTCTGCAGTGTTCCGCATTGCCTTGAGAATAGTGAGTGGGTGGGACACCAGCAAAAAAACGTAAAAAAAATATATAAATTATATGCATGTGTGTTTGAATTTTTGAGGTGCACACCCTAGTGCAATAGGCTGCGCACACCTGTAAACAGATGTAATCGTGTACTGCAGAGAAAGGAGGTTCGATCATTATCAACATTTGGTATTGCCCATTTAGCAGAGATTGCTTGCTATAGGCATTTTGTATAACTGCCCACCTATCTCTGATTTTGAAATGTATGACTATTTCCCCAAGCAAATTCCTGTCATTTTTCAAGATATTTGTGGATTTCCTTGCATGAACTGCCCATTTCAAAATCTCTCTACAAGTGGGAAACAAATCAGGGCTTTTGACTATTGCAGACCATAATCCTTCTTTTTGAGCAATTTCTTGATGGACTTGCTATTGTGCTTGTAATCATTTTCAACTCTGTCAGTTTTTAGATTGATTGCATCACATTCTAATCACACACTTTTATATTATGCAGAATATATAGTTGACTCGATGATGAGCTGCCCAGGTCCTAAAGCAGCAAAGCAACCCTAAACCATAATATATGCACCAGCACGCTACACATTTGTTATGAGGCCCTTCTAAAATACGGTCTTCTGTTTGGGTAGCAAACATATCTACTGTTACTGTGGCCAAACAACGCTTTGGTTGGTCAGTGTTCAGTACATTGTTCCAGAAGGCTTGGCCTTTGCTATAGGTTCAATGGCAAACTGTAATTTTGCTGTAATGTTGTTTATGGACAGCTAAGGCTTTTCTTAACACACCTCTCATGCATGTTGAATTGGTGCAATCCTACTGATTGTAAATGCATGTATCTTGACCCCAGCTGTTGCAAGAGTTACCTGATCACCCCTCAATGAAATGTTGGAGTTCTTTGAGACTTCTTGCATTATATAGGCTGAATTTGCTGGGCCGGCCAGTCCTGGACAAATTAGCTGTTGTATAAAATATACACCACTTGTACAATATTTTTCTAGCAGTGAAATGATTGATTTCAAATCATTTCGACATTTTGAAATCCCTTGACAGACTCATGGGCATGCAAAACTTATTTTCTGTGAGGGACCTTAGAGACCTCTATGGATCTTGGCATGACACCACCCATGTCAGGAGCAAACTCTACACCAGACCATAGAAATCTGAGATAGTTTCCACCTACTTACTCTCTCTAAGGAGGTTCTAAGCACTGGCAGCTAATTCGGAACACAAGTCTAATTTCATGTATTTGACATAGTGGTACATATGGGAGTGTTCTTGTATTCCTTATGACAGACCTGCATTTTTGTTCATTTAGATCATGAAAATCCCATGTCAATTTTGTGTGTTATGTTCAAGTATATCCCTTTTATCTGTAAATATAATATTCAAAAAAAGTTTTCATGTTTGCCTTTTCAAATATGAAAAAGGTAAGTTTCCTTACTTTTTCACATGACTTTGTGCATGTGTATATAATCTCCTCAGTTTTACTTTAAAATAAACTACTGCTAAATTAAATTTTTGAGGTGTAAAAAAAAAAAAAAAAAACCCCAAAAAACTGGGATTATCAAAAGAAAAAAAAATGGGCACTATTTTGTGATGTGCATGCCAGCAGTGTAACTCTAAGGTTCTGTACACAGTACATGTTATACTTTTTACTAGTTTTAGAGAGTAACCTGCAAACAATGCTGATGAAGTTTCTGTAAAGGTTTATATTTAATTTAAAGCAGGGTATATACAGTACAGTTTTTTTTCGTTCAACCAGCAGGCTGAACAAAAAAAACACTTGACAGTTCCCTGCATCCACACAAGCGATATAGATACAGGGATCTTCCAGTCTGCCCTATTTTATCCTGACAGTAGTGACTCAACAACCGACTTATGTTGAACAGACAAGGCTACACACATACTAAAATCCGTCTGGTTCCTGCTAAACTTGATGAATTTCGATAAGTTTTTAAACCGCTTAAGAATGGCAATGCATAACCTGATCCCAAACCAATGATATAAAGCTCTTGTAGGATAGGGCAATTTCCTACATCAGCAACACTGTTTATTGCTCACAGAAATGTTCCATACAATGTGATCAGGCAATAAATGTGGTATCCCTCCTGCCAATGAATGTCTGTGCTGAGGTCTTCTAAAGCGCAAGTTGTAGCTCACTAGAGTGTAGACTTCATTCAAGAAATGTTCCTTCACAGATAGATTCATGTGTCAGAGGTGATGATGTTCCATATTAAGAAGCCCCTTTTTTCATTTAATAGGATGATCCTGATCTTGTAAGTGCTATATATGGCAGAGGAATAGCATATGGCAAAAAAGGACTGCAAGTAAGTGTTACTTCTTTCCTTTCCTTTCCTTTTCTTTCCCTTTCTTTCCCTTTCCTTTCCCTTTCCTTTTTTCCTTTCCTTTTCCTTTCCTTTCCTTTCCCTTTCCTTTTCCTTTCCTTTCCTTTCCCTTCCCTTCCCTTCCTTTCCCTTTTCCCTTTTCCCTTTTCCCTTCCTTTCTTTCATGAACTATTGCTATTTTAATCCCAAGTTTTTAGAATTTTTTCAGCCAAAGTATCTGACCCTTTCAGACCCCCATTACAGTTCACAATATTTCTCACCAGCTGATTATCCTTTTTATATTTCATATCAATTATTGGAATAGATACAAAATAGGGCCAATTGATAACCACAATTTACATGTTGATGGGGGTCTGTCTTCATATGCTTTTTACTTATGTCTTAGAGGTTTTTGTTGCTTGTGACCTTTTTTAAATGCATCAGGAAATGTTGATTTCCCCTCCATTTTGTTAGCACTAAATGTATAAATAGGAATTACAGCAGGGCTTGCAATTTCCGCTCGCCAATGGCGAGTGGAAATTATGGTGGGGGTGAGTGTGTCCCCCAGGGCCGTCTTGCTGAGCAGGCTCGGAGCTCAGGCCGGATCTGTCATTGGCACTGGGAGCCGTCAGACTGCTCAATAGCGGAGCGCAGTGAAAGCAAAGGAAAGAGTGTGTGCTGTGCTCTCTGCCTCCCCCTAGAGTGCAGTACTCGGATCTGTCAGTGAACAACAAAGTACTGCAACTTTTTATGTGTGTGTCTGTGTATGCATGTACAATTGAACATGTCTGTGCAGGGGCGGACTGACCATTCGAGCACTCGTGCACTGCGTCAGTAGGGGGCCCCATGAAATGCCCCTGGTACCTTCTTCTTTTTTTTTTTTTTTTTTTTTTTTTGTGTGGGCAAGGACATAGGGGCCCCATGATCCCCTATTGCCTGGGGGACCCATGAGTTGTCAGTCCGCCCCTGTGTGTGTTTGTACATGTCTGTGTGTATGTATGTATGTACATGTATCTTTGTGTATGCGTGTCTGTACGTGCCTGTGTGTGTGCGTACATGTGTCTCTGTGCATGGGTACAAGTTTCTGTGTGTGTGTGTGTGTGTTGGTAGCGAGTAACTCTAAGGCCTTGCTAGTAGCTCAGGACTTGAAATTTTAAGCCCTGAATTACAGTCTATAATTCTTCTTTGCCCATGATAATACCACTGTGTAAGTACTGGCAAATGCTTCACTGTGTTGATTTTGGGGTTTCCTCCATTTCCAAAGTATTTTCTGTGCACCTTAGTAAAACTCTTAAAGGCACTTTGCAGGTTAAAGATTTTGAGGTCATCCATAAAATAAAACCTAGTTTATTATGTAAATTTGGGTGGTAAATATGAGTGGTGTTAACACTCTTCCCAGGCAGAATCTAAACGGGAGGATACAATCCCAAATGTATAATTGTCACCACCTCATTACCATGCCATCCAAAAGTTTCCTCAAATATGGAACACAAAAGAATCCAATCCTCTTTCTTGGCACAGATCTCAATGCAACATTCTCAGTAACCCAAGCAAGTAAGGTGATGCATGATATATGTAAAACCAAAAGAGGAAAAAATGGGAAGCTCAAGGATCTTACGCAATGAGTCATTTTATGTTCATGAGAGAGCAAAAGTTGCACTCGCATGCATTTTAGGAGATTAGAAACTTGATATGCTTGCACATCAGAAAGAATAGACACTTGGACCCTGGATTCTTGTTGAAATATGAACCCTTTATTCATTCTAAAGAAACGGATAATTTTTGTAAAGGTTTGGCTTTCATGCTTGGTGTCATACTGTAATGGAAGACAAACCTTCTCCCTAAGCACACATTATTTGCAGACTTCATCAGGTTTTCCTTCATTCTACCATCTACTCTCACAAGCCTTTGGGGACTGCTACAGAGAAGCATTCCTCACAGCATGATGTTGCAGCCACCACCATGCTTTATGATGAAGATGGTATTGTTTATAATGATGTGTAGTGTGTGTTTATTATATGGAAAGAGTGGTGTCTGGTTAGATGACCAGATAGCTCAACAGTGGTCTCCTCCAGGACCATAGAACCTTCTTTCAGTGGTTTTGAGAGTCTCCCACATGCTTTTGGTTTTTTTGCCTCCTCCCCCTAAAGCGCCAACCGGGCAGCATTTGTAGACTGCATAGTTTCTCTAATCTCAGCTACTGAGGCTTGTTAATCCTTCAGAGTGGGAGTAGGGCTCTTAGTAGGCTATTAGTTTCCTTATGCACATCCTTGATAGCTTTACAGTTCTGTCATACTCTACATTTCTTAATCATTGATACAACTGTACTCTTGTGATGTGGAAATTTCTTTGTATGTGGACTGGCTTATGCTTTTATGTATGTTAATTGTACAGTACAGGACACAGACTGAGTGTTCATAGACCCTGGGTTATTGACAAATGCCTTCAAGTGACTGGACACTGGCAAAGATTTTGAGGACATGCCCTTTGGGCATCCCCTTTTAACCCTACCCCACTGTGTGACTTCTCAGTTTCTTGCTTGTGCCTTCAGATAATGGACCGCTTCTCTTATGGAGAAATTAATCTTCGCTTAACTAGTTTGATTTATCTTCATATTCTTCAGTCAACTTTTCAGTCACTTCTTCACTGTTTTCTAATAACACAATAGAAACCATGCTTTAAGGTCGGTACAAGCTCAGTAAAATCTTGGGAGGCATGGGTCTGGCCTACAATGTTGCTTTGGGCACTGGATTCTGCCCAGGTGCTCATCTTGGCAACATGTGTAGTGAAACGTGGATGCTAGAGGTCCAGGGCCGTGATCCATCCTTATGGAACCCAGACTCCAAAGACCTTGGACTTTCTAAAAGGGTCCAGTGTTTTGGACAGGTAAAGCAGGTCACCCGTGTGTAGTCCGCTACAGGTTCAGGAGCATGGTTCATCCCTATTGAACCCAGATCCTGAAAACCCTGGACTCTGTAAAACAATCTAGCATTTTGGACAGGTAAAACAGGGCAATCCTGTATCTCTGATCGTTACTGTAAAAGCCAAAGCTATAATTGGCATGTAACCACTACACATTGTAAACTTTTTTTCAAACTTGACCCTAAAACTCAACCTCTCAGAGCTTAGTCTTTGGTAGATGATTAGTTGTTTCATCACACCACTGGTCGCACTCGCTCCTGTCACTTCCTCCTAGAGCCCTTTACTCAGGCGGCTCTCCCAGCGTTTAGCCACAAGGACTTTTCTCTACAGGTTGGTCTACACTAGGGTTGCTGCATACTCTTTCCTGGCACACCTCCAACTTATTCTGTGCACCGCTCATGAGATTACCCTCATCTGTAGCTATGGCAGAAACCCGGCAAAATAAAGCCACCGCACAAGCTTAGGTAAATATTCGCTCTGCCAGATGCCCACAAAACATTCAGCTTCAGAGTGACTATGCTTTCCTTGCACCAAAGCAGGACCTGATTTTTAACAACAGTCTCTACATCTCAGGCATGCAACATCATTCTCTGTCATAAAGCAAGAGGTTTGTCTGAAAAAAGAGGTCAACATAGAAGGGAATGAAGAGGTAGTGTTAGAGGAGGCTGCAAATGATTTCTCACCCCCAGAGTCCTATACAGTGGGGATCGAAAGTTTGGGCACCCCAGCTAAAAATGTGTATTAATGTGCATAAAGAAGCCAAGGAAAGATGGAAAAATCTCCAAAAGGCATCAAATTACAGATTAGACATTTTTATAATATGTCAACAAAAGTTAGATTTTATTTCCATCATTTACACTTTCAAAATAACAGAAAACAAAAAAATGGCGTCTGCAAAAGTTTGGGCACCCTGCAGAATTTATAGCATGCACTGCCCCCTTTGCCAAGCTGAGACCTGCCAGTGTCATGGATTGTTCTCAATCATCGTCTGGGAAGACCAGGTGATGTCAATCTCAAAGGTTTTAAATGCCCAGACTCATCTGACCTTGCCCCAATAATCAGCACCATGTGTTCTTCTATGCAGTTGTCTAGAAAACTGAAACTGAAAATAGTTGACGCTCACAAAGCTGGAGAAGGCTATAAGAAGATAGCAAAGCGTTTTCAGATGTCAGTATCCTCTGTTCGGAATGTAATTAAGAAATGGTGGTCATCAGGAACAGTGGAAGTTAAAGCAAGATCTGGAAGACCAAGAAAAATATCAGACAGAACAGCTTGCAGGATTGTGAGAAAAAACAATTCAAAACCCACGTTTGACTGCACGATCCCTCCAGAAAGATCTGGCAGACACTGGAGTTGTGGTACACTATTCCACTATAAAGAGATACTTGTACAAATATGGTCTTCATGGAAGAGTCATCAGAAGAAAACCTCTTCTACGTCCTCACCACAAAAATCATCGTTTGAACTTTGCAAATGAACATATAGACAAGCCTGATGTATTTTGGAAACAAGTTCTGTGGACCGATGAGGTTAAAATTGAACTTTTTGGCCAGAATGAGCAAAGGTACGTTTGGAGAAGCAGGGGCACAGAATTTAATGAAAAGAACCTCTGCCCAACTATTAAGCATGGGGTTGGATCAATCATGCTTTGGGGTTGTGTTGCAGCCAGTGGCACAGGGAACGTCTTACGAGTAGAAGGAAAAATGGATTCAATAAAATTTCAGCAAATTTTGGATGGTAACTTGATGCCATCTGTGAAAAAGCTGAAGTTAAAGAGAGGATGGCTTCTACAAATGGATAATGATCATAAACACACCTCGAAATCCACGGGGGATTACATCAAGAGGCGTAAACTGAAGGTTTTGCCATGGCCTTCACAATCTCCTGACCTCAACATAATTGAAAATCTATGGATAGACCTTAAAAGAGCAGTGCGTGACAGACAGCCCAGAAATCTCAAAGAACTGGAAGACTTTTGTAAGGAAGAATGGGCAAAGATACCTCAAACAAGAATTGATAGACTCTTGGCTGGCTACAAAAAGCCTTTACAAGCTGTGATACTTGCCAAAGGGGGCAGTACA